CATCGTTGAAGATTGAGTTAGCAAAACCTCTAAAATACTATAGCCTTTACCTCGTGACTTTGCTGTGATCAAGTCATACAAGCTCGACTCGCTGAATGAGTACATTTCACAACAATCGTCCGTCACCTCGTTCTTCTTGTAAGGCACCGCCCTACAATATATAATGAGCTTGTCCATAGCACCCTCTAACAGAACCTAAAAAAAACATTATAGGTCTTGTAAATATAAGTTAGTATATCATTACTAATAAGGACACCTTTAGTTAGTTGTGGCCTTACAAGATACAGCTAAGGATTTTTTTTTTTAACTTACGACATCATGAGCTTCAGAAGGGTCTTCTTGCTGATTTCCACTGAGAGTACTCTGCGATTGAAAATGAGAGCATGATAAACATCGAATAAACAAAGGACCTGGTAGARATTACACCCATGCAGTTCGCTACGCTCGAAGTGGTTGATGGGATAGGGAGAGAAAAATTTCCTTCGCAATTCCCGTGATGCATTGCGCGCCGATGGTTGTTAMGCATCTTACCTTATCCATTGAGTCGTTGGGCGATGATGTTGAGTGAAGAGAAAGTGATGAGTGCGTTTTCATCAAGTTGAATTCAGACTAGAAAAAATATACTCTTCAATAAATAACGCGGAATCATTTGGGGTTGGTAGGGGGTAGAAAGGCCATCAAAATAGAAAACTAGGGAAAACAGTTACTTGGCTGTGGACGACTGAGGTCTTCGTACTCTTTCTTTGCCGCGGTGATGTTCCCTGTGAAAGACAGATATCAATGGACAGAAATATAACAAAARTACCGATAGAACGACTTACTTGTGATCCCATTGACACCACACTGAACTTGGCCTTGGTCTAAAAGAGAAATTGTATACATTACAGACATTAGTCAAGCAATAAATAGATGAATCAATCAGTTAATCCGTCAATCAATTAATCAATCAATCAGTGCTTAAGTCGTCTGCTAATTTTCTGTCTCACCCTCTTCTTCAGTTTAATCTTCCCTTTAAGGATAATCTTTCCTTTCAAATCGTTGGGAGAAGGCAGTTTATTTTCTCTCCGTTCAGAGCACAAATCATTGTAAACCAGCATATCACCAAGCTCTGTCATGAAGATATCRGCCATTATTGCCTAGAGAATGACAAMAATAAATATTTTAGCTRGGGCCRGCGTTACCTGACGCATGAAGTCTCATCAAAATTCACTCATTACGGTTCATRTTCTTAGAGTATTCGTTTTTTTAATGAAACATAATACCTGTTGTTGCTGTTTGCAGTGATTCTCTAGCGATAAAATAACTGGGTAATCTGATGTTTCAAATGCGTATTCCTGAGAGAGAGATAAGCAATGCCATGATGAGCCTGTGACATGTATGCAGGCCGGGCGGATCCAGGATTTTCCTCAGGGAGGGGTGCGGGGCACTTAGTAGGGGGTGCAACCCACCAGTTGGATCCGCCCCTGGTATAAGCCCTTTTCAGTCTATTATCGGCAATGAAAGCTAGTGACCGGAATGTCCAAATTATGATTATGATGACAATCATAATGATGATCACGAATAACAACAATGGTGTTGATAATGACAACATATCAATTATGATGGTGGTGACAACGTCAATCAAGCTGAAGTCTTACTTTAATCACTTGAACGACATCCCTGAATCTAATCTTTGAAGTAAGAGTTAATCCATGCGTTATYACAGGCCCATCTAAACTCAAAACAATCGATAMAGAACCTTTAGAGTCATCACTTTTTACGTTTTTTAAAGACGCAAACATAACACACCAGGGCCATCCCAGCAGTCTAGTTCCAGACATCTACAGCCTTGAAGGAGTGCCCTTACGTACGACTCCAGACTCGACCATCCTCGCAGTTGATGACCAGTTAGGTATGTATTGTGTGATGAGTTGATGAAATAATCTGAGAGAGGTTGATCCATGTCCTGTTTTTGATAGAAAGATTGCAATGATTGAATCAGTTTGTACGGCAGCATCGCTGTTGCTTTGCTTTGTGCTTTCAATACATACTTGATAAACAGTGTTGTGTTCAGGCTTGATGACGCCGTTGTCGTCGCTTCTAAGGTAACTGAGACAAGAATGGCACATACGGTTAATACAGCCTCCTCTGCAGGCATMACAAAGAATCACGGGCTTCCTGTCTTTTTTGGGAGTCAAAAGAGGGAGAATGGGGGCGAGAAAAGAGTCACTAGTCCCTAGCGGCCAAGATGACCGTTACAAAGGAAGCCCAAAGGAGGAAAAAAGAGTTGCCTAGGGAGGAGGCTCAACCATGTATAACCAAGTATTAAATATTCCATTCCGTCAGCTCATCGTCTGTCCACCAATTCATTGGTCCATCAGACAGTGCGTCAATCAGCCTAATCATCAATCAACCAATCAGAGAACCAAACAATCATTTAATCAATCAATCAATCAATCACCTAATGAATCCATGATAAGACAGGAAATGCTTGCTTCGTTTGTAATCATCAGGATCACTACCAGCACATCTTCGTTTGTACATCGTATGGAACTTGTCATGGAAGTGAATCAGGTGTACACACATTTCCACGCTCAAAYACTCCTACAGAATTCAGGATAAAATTAACATTGTTAGCCAAATAACCCCTGGAAATACCAAYAATAAGAGAATTATAATGTCTTTACCATGAGCATTACRAAACCAATGCACTAACGATGAAGTAGTTTGAAATCTTGTTCTTCAAATTATCAATATCATACCTTTTGCTCTTTCATCAGAAACTGTCTAAACTCCTCAGGTGTTAATCCAAGGTGCGGATAGGAGCGAGCATATCGAGCATACACACCAAAAAGCTACAAGTCAGAATTGATGAAAAATGTTGTCAATAGTTTCACAAACAGTAAATTGCTAATGGTGCATTGTGTTGAAATGTAACCAGTGTTTTAATCATGTAAGGAGTATTCAGTGAAAGTATAAATTGTACACCACAAAAAGAGAGAAAATTTGTCATTTTGGATGTTGGTCAGACTGTTATGCAACAGTTTAGCCATAATTAACTATGGTTATGGACAACATCCAAGACAACCATACTTTTTACATGACGTACAATTTATCTCTTTGTCACCWCTTTTTGTTTAAAATTTGTTCATTTTCTAGAGTTCCACCTACCCTAGCTTGTTCATTTAAACTGTCAAACAACAGCATAAAGGAACTCCACACCAGTCTTGCTTGGGCTTGGCTGACACCACATTGTGTCTCAAGAACACTCTACCATATGAATTTTACATTATAAGACTKTAAACAGCATAATTTTTATATCATAAAGTTTATTCAAACTAGTGCAGCAAACAATAAAGAAGAAAAAACACGAAAATATCTGTTCTATCAGTACATACTTTAATTTTATTCTTAAGACGTTTCCTGTTACCCTCCGGCCAGCAATGATTTGCAAAAGTTTGAACATGGTCTGCAGTGATACTTCTGCTTTGTTTGCAGACCAGTACAGACCAGTGTCGCTTTAACCATCTGAATTTCCAAAGTCAAAGGTTCGATAAACATTAATTTTGAGCTAATTACATT